AGCTAATGGGAACACTTTCGTGCCGATTATACCTAGAAACACTACAATGCCTGCTCGGAAAGAACTGGTCTTCACAACTGTCCACGATAACCAGACCGAGGTATTGATAGTCGTCTATGAGGGGGAAGTGGATAAGGTAGAAGAGAATCATCTGCTCGGATATTTCAAGATTACTGGACTTCCTCCTGCACCAAAAAGTGTTCCGGAGATAAACGTCTGCATGGATATCGATGCATCGAATGTGCTGAGAGTTTTGGCCGGGGTCGTACTGCCGGGTGCTCAACAACCTGTTGTTCCTGTAATGGAAGTAAGGATGCCGACGGTTGATGACGGGCACGGCTGGTGCGCTGAAGCGCTGCATAGAGCTTATGGGTCTACTCTGGACCTGGTGACGGTACAGAAGAAATGAACTTGATGCACCCGTTGTCGCATCCGATTCGAGTGTTCTATTTTTTTTTCCCGTCTATTAGAGAATCTGGGTTAGCAAGAACAGTTGTGTGATGTGTTTTTCAGACTTGGTGTAATGAAATAAAAGCATGTAATTTAAACCACTTCGGTACTGTCTCTGTATCATGAAAAGTTGTCAGTGTTGAAGTCAAGGGATGGACATAGACAAGTTTTGATTTCTGATTCGACTCTATAAGGTAAGATTTTTTTTTTTTTTTGAAAATTCACGTGTAGTTTTAGGGATGAGATCGGATTCAGGTTTAAAGGAAAAAAATATTCAATACGAATTTTTACTTAAAATTAGACGTTAACCCTAAATAATGTCTTTCTAAACTTGGATTGAGTAGCGGTTAACGTGCAATTTTACCAATTTAGGGGCCATGCGGCCATTCCCCTGCCCCCAGCTTCGATATTGCTCACAATCCTTGCAATCGCCATCAGCAGCTAGGTTATCTCTGGCTCCTACTAAAAAGGAAAAACTATTCTTTAGTCCCTTAAGAAATCATGAAATTCTTAAGGTTAAATGACAAAACAAGATCTCTAATATTTTCATATCTACATAAATAAAGGTCTAATATATAATAATAATTATAAAAAACCTGTATTAAACAAAAGTGTGAACTTCTTTATAAAGGAAATTAAAGCTAGGGATTTTTTAAATGGAGCCGGGTCGGGTTTGGTTTTTTTCAATTTGATGTTTGAATCGGATCGAATTCAGGTTTATGGTGAAAAATACTCGACCTGACCCGAAAAAAATATATAAATTTCATTATATATTTAGAAATAATTACAATAATACCCCTCTCTATATATATTTTTTCAATTAAGTTATTGTTTTTATTGAATAAAAATAATATTTTATTATTATTTCGGGTCGAATTAAGTCGGGTCGGGTTTTTAAGTTATATATCGGGTCGTGTTTGGTCGGGTGAAATCCTATTTCATGCGGGTCGTGTCTAATCTCGGGTGGAGGAATCATTGCTCTCGGATTGGGTCGGGTGAACCAAAAATCCGACCCAACCATACCCATGTTCATCCCTAATTAAAGCCGAGATGAAGAGCCAGTAACAATCATAGGCTCTTTTCAAGTCCTAATACTAATGATGAGCAAACTCCAATTTCTGGGTCAGCAAGCAATGCCCACTATCACAATTTAAAGTCACCCAATAGGCCAGCCTAGTAGATTCGAATTTAACTGATTTTGATATTGTGATAGCGTTTTATAGAAAAGTTCAAGTTAGGTAAAATAATGTTTTTTTAAGAATAAGATCGAGTCATATTTAAATTTAAAACAATTTTTTTGCTTAATTAGAGATAATAGTATAATTATCATTTATATATTTACAAATAATTGTAATAATACTCTTATATCTATATTTTTTCAATTATACCCTCTTTACCAAATAAAAATGATATATATATAAAATTAAGATCTACTTACATAATGTAAAACTCTTTAGTTTTACATAGATTTAATACCGTTGTATGAGTGAAAATAGATGGTTGAGATTAATTCATTGTTTTTTTTGTCTAGTGAATATTTTGTTAATCTCATCCATATATTTTCACTCATTTAACATTCCTAAATCTATGTAAAACTAAAATAGTTTTACATTATCTAACATAATTCTATCTCATATATATATATATATATTCAATCATTTAATAGTTCTAAATCTATGTAAAATTAAAATAGTTTTACATTGTCTAGCATAATTATATCTCATATATATACACACACTTGTATGGGGTCAAATGATATTTTTTATTCTAAAAAACGAATCGGGATTTGACACTATTAAAATCCAACATGACCTCTATTCATCCCTATTTATAGTTGGCTTCTCATCTAGGGTTCTCTTCAATGGAATCATCAATATCCTTTTTATTTATATATTTTTATAATTAGGTCGGAATAAAAATGATACTATTTTATATATAATACTCGAGTCAATCAAAATCAAATCCATGTATGAATTTTTATCTCAAAAACCAGATTAGATTTCAAATCGAATGATGGATGGAGTAATATAATACTCGAGTTGACCAAAATCCAACTCGACTTACCTCATGTTTATCACTACTTATAATTTACTTCTCATCTAGGGTTTTCTTCTAAAAAGATTATCAATATTCCATAATCACGTCAAAACTCGATCAATTTAAAGTTGAGTTCGATCGTAGTTCATAAAATTTAAAACCGATATCTTATTTAAATAAAGTATAGATTCTTATCACGCAACCAGAGAGGTCAAAAATGTATGGGTAAAGATAAAAAGAAGCAACCCCACAAATGAAGCCTATCCACAACGTAGGAAACTAGAGAGTTGTGGCTTGAAGCACAAGTGAAGTTAAGTGAGACTAAAATATAGCAAAAAAGAGGGTTAAGGTTAAGCAGAGCCCTAAAAACCAAAGCTTATTGGTGGGATGGCTTCTTATTCCACAAGGGTTCTAAAAAATTAGGGTTTCGACAATGACACTGCAACAACATCAAAATCAATCCATGATTGGCAACCAAGAAATTAGTAAAAAAATTCCCAATAAAAGCAAGGAAAAAACTAGAAAATTTTCCCATTACAGTTCATTGTTTTTCAGTCTGCAGGAACTTCTCTTCTTGTCACCTACATGAGCCAAAGCCACTGCTTCTGAAAATGGGGTGGCTTCAATCCCTCTTCTCTCCGTTGAAGAAGCTCTGGTTTCGCCTGGCTCAGAAGAAAAGTACGTTAATCCATACCCTCTTCTCTAATATAAAATTCTATATCCGTCTCTAATTCTGGTGTTCATATGTTTCCGGAATTCTTCGTCTAAGTTATCGTTTCCTTTTTCCCTGTAGGACGAGGGATATACATTTTGTACGAGGATGTGAAATCCTGCCCTTGTGAAGATGTGCATGTTTTATGGTCAATACTGATGGAATCAAGTGCACCTCCATTGCCGGCTAGACATTGATGCACAAAAATTGTGTATGTTATATTCGACGACTTCCGGCGAGTGTTCCAATGATACGGATACACGTATCTGAATATGTACCGGATGTAAATACTTAAAATAATTCGGTAGAATTAGAATTCGAATAACTTAACGTAATTATACATGATTGTTGGTGAGATAGGTTTGGAATTTTTGGCTTCTTGTTGTTGGCTTGTCAGTTTTCAGCAGTTGATTTCTTGTTTTCATTATCTATGTATGAAGTTGACTGGGGAAATGGTTTGAATGGATGTAATAACCTACTTGATTTTTCAATGTCTTTACTTGCAGTTAAGCAATTCGATAACATGTTTACACTATGTACACATTTTGCATGTACATTGGTCGGTCCAATCTTCCATGTAATAAGATATATTTTAATCACACATGGATACATTCACTTTAAATAAGATTTAAAATATCGTTCTAAATGAGATAAATTAGATTATTCATTCGATTACATTGGTCGTCCCAACATATTTTAGATTGAATTTGGTTGCTATGCATAATAAATTGAGGATATCAACAGAGACAGAGACAAGATTATATGTTTGAGGTTGAATATTTGTATATGAATTTAATCATTCAATTAAACTTAATGTTTCAACTAATTTTTAAGAAAAATCAATAGAAATTGATATTTCATCTATAAAAAATATATATGCATTAAAATATTAATTATTAATATATAAAGGTAACATATATAGTATTTTTGAATTATTTTAATAAAATAAAATATATTTTTAATATTTAAAATTGTTTACCAAAAATATGAGTAAAATAGATATTAATAACAAGATACAATCTTGAAAACGCCAATATATCTCTTTAAAATACGACAAAAATTTGAAGATAATAATTTGAGGAGAAAATTTCTCAAATAATATTCCTACTAATTTATTTGTTGAAGTATTGTGATTGTTATAATATGACTTAAAAGATGTCAAGATCATAATGTGTCTTCAACTCTCCCGAAAAAGATATTTTCTTTTACAAGACAAAGACAGAGTTATGTAGGTGCATAGGGAAGACGTACTTTGATTCATGTGTCTTCCCCGACAAAATTGAAGATGTATTATGATCGTCATATCTTCTAAGAGTGACATTACAAATTTATAACAATCGTCTTACTATAATAAATAATTCATAGATTGTTGTGTGAAGAATTTTATTTTCCACAACATTATTCAATTGTATTTATATTAAAATCATCTAAAAGAAAAAAAAAGTTTTAAACATTTATTATTATTTTTAATTGTGTTCTTAAATTTCATTACAAAGATAATAAACCCAACAAGTAATCATTATATCCAGTATAGAATATCATTAATCGCGGTTGAAAGAAGGATATACTATTCCAGTCAACCAAACACGACCGTAAATACTTTCCTCTTTTTTCATCGAAAACCCTACTTTAACATTCTTCTACATTTCAGCTCCAGCGCCGGCGCCTTGTACTAAAACCACCTACAACAACCGCCGCCAGCGGCATCTTCGAAAAAAAGCCCTAAGTAAAGTAAGCCATTAGCTCTCTCTCCCCTTTAGTCAACCTATATATATGTATATAACTACGTATACTTATCCATTGCTTTACTTTTCCTTCTGCACGTGCAGAACAATGGCAGAAAAGGCTGTTACCATAAGAACTAGGAAGTTCATGACCAACAGGCTCCTCTCAAGGAAACAATTCGTGGGTTACTTTTATTTTTTTAGCTTTCATTTGCTTTTTTTCTTCTTTCCTTAGGTTTCTCTGTTTGTTTACCGAGAAAATGTATGAAGAGCTTGAAGAGTAAGAGATTTGACAAAATGGGTTTTTTCTTAGAACTTAACAAGTTGCCATCTTTATTGTTTTTTGTTTTGTGATTTTGGAACAGATCGTGGATGTTCGTCATCCTGGAAGACCCAATGTTTCAAAGGTATTTTAATGAGTAATTTGCTTAATTTAAGGTTCCCAATGTAATTGTGTTTCCTTACATTTTTACTCATTTAAGTAATGGACTCGAGTGTAGGTTGAGTTGAAGGAGAAATTGGACAGGATGTATGAAGTAAAAGACCCAAATTCGATTTTTGTATTCAAGTTCCGTACTCACTTTGGAGGGGGGAAATCAACTGGTTTTGGGCTTATTTATGACTCAGTTGAGAATGCAAAGAAGTATGAGCCTAAGTACCGCTTGATCAGGGTAAATCACTGCCATTTTCAATGATTTATATCTCGGTTTAAGCGTTATCGTTTAGATGAATGGTTATTTGCTTTTCACTTGTTCTTTATGTTTAATGTGGCATCTGATTTCTCTAGTTGAATAAGTACTTGGTGTTGCTTTACCTTACCAAATGAATTAAGGACTTAAAAAGATCAAACATATATATATAGATCACAAATACCGCATTCGTTTTAGAACTTTTAGCATTTGCAAACTTTGGTTTAGATTCTCAATAGTTGTAGGATGGCTAGAACTGGTTCCATAAATGTTGTTTGTTCTTTCGAATATATGTTAGAATATGGAGTAATATAAGCCGGAAAAATGGAGGCTGATAATGACTTGTTACTAGATTGCCTGTTCATTTCATGGTGGTGATTGATTGAGATTTGGAGTAATATAAATTACCTGCTGTTTAGAAGGTGCCGACTGGGAAGCTTGAAAAACTATGTGAGTTTTCTTTTCTGACACTAACTTAGATTAAATAAGTTTATCATCTTTGTACTTTAGTTGTGATGTTCTAGTTTGGCCGAGATGTCGTTATAGATGGTATTCTTATGCTATTCGGTTCTTGTTATTTTGGCTCATTGCATGAGGCTAGGTATTATCTCATGGGGTGATATTTTGGTAATGTAGAAATAATTTTAGTAAAGTCAGTGTTTCCCATGTTGAATGCGTCTTTACCTTCGTATAAAGAGTATTCTCAATGCATCGGACAATATCTCATGCTTTTGGGGTTACACAACCAATGAAAATAATAGCTTCAAGCAATCTGCACATACGCGCATATGATATTTCTGCGCTTTATACAAGTGAGTGCATGTGGTAATATGCACATGCATGCTTTGCATCATCAATACTAAAGCTCTTTTCCTCTGATGACAGAATGGACTCGATACCAAGGTTGAGAAGTCTAGAAAGCAGATGAAGGAAAGGAAAAACAGGGCCAAGAAGATCAGAGGTGTAAAGAAGGTAACTCGGAGTGTTTTTGTTTTCGTCTATTCTTTTTCCCGGAATTTATTTCGTCTACTAATGGCGACTTTGCCCACATTTTGTAGACCAAGGCTGGAGATGCTGCCAAGAAGAAGTGAGGTCCTATAGGCATGAGCTAGTTTTCATACTCATTTACCTCCATTGCCTGTTGTTTGCCATTGAACTCAAATAAAATACTGAGCTTATTTTACTTCTTGTTGAGTGTACCACTTGAAATTTGTTTTCTGGGCCTACTTTACTTACCTGTTCCTGTGGTGATTTAATCTGAAATGAATTTTAAACTTCAAATGAGTACAAGGATTTCCAACATAATTAAATCCAAAAATAAATATTGGCATTTAAGTTTTGGTTTAACATATTTATCCATTCAATTTGGTAGTTTTTCTCAATTTGGTACCTGATCTTGTTTTGTCAAGTTGGTACATGAATTTGGTGTTTATATTGTATTTTAGCAATTAATTAGGATGTGACACGTGACACTCCCGTTATTAATAACTGGTTGATGTTATATCAATAATTTGATTGATTGACACAAATCTTAGTGACTTTAGTAGTAAAGAAATTATTGATATTTTTTTAGGTTTTATGTTCGAGCACTAGAAATGTCAGGGATACGAGCGTTCAATGTCAAATGGTTGAGAGTTATTTTTGAATAAATACTACATTGTACTTATCCCAGATTAATAATTTTTTTTATAGATTATTGAAATGTCAAGTCAATATATGTATCAACTTGAATATATTTTTTTAAAAGTTTAGGTGTCAAAATGATTTAAACATATTTTGGTACCAATTTGAGAAAAATAACCAAATTTAGGGGCCAATTCGTATATTTAACCTTTTTAGTTAAAAAAAGAGTTAATTGTACCACGTGGCCCCAAATTATGACCATCATTTTAAATTAGTCTTTGAACTTTTAAATATTCTAATTTCATACTTACACTATGACCCTCATTCTAAGTTGGTCCTCAAATGTTTAAATATTTCATTCATCCCTATATTATGATTCTTATTGTAGATCAATCCCTAAACTTTTAAATATTTTAATTTCATATCTAAATTATCGATATATGTTAATCACATCCCAATTAATAAAACTGTTAGGCCATTTATATCATTATATGGTTGAAAAAAATATTAAAATTGAGGTCAAATTGTGGTTGAAACTAATTTCATATTTGGATGAATTTAGGGATGAAAATAAAATATTAAAAAGTTTGAAGACTAATTTAGAATGAGGAGCATAGTATAAGGATGAAACAGAAATATTTAAAAGTTTGAAAACTAATCTAGAATGGGAGTCATAGTTTAGGGACATATCTTCAAAAAAATAAAAAGAATGACGTCGTATTTTCTCTGTTTGTATCATGGTTTTCAGAACCGGACCGGTTAGCGAACCGGTCATGCTACCGGTTCACTGGTTCAACCGGTCGAACCGGTCCAACCGGTCGGAAGAACCGGACGATGTCATAATTATTTAAAAAATTAAATAAAAATACCAAAAATATTTAATAAAAAATAATTTTTTATATCACAAGTTATATTCAAAGCAAGTCATAACATATATAAGTTAAAAACCATAAAAATCAAGTGAAACAAAATGATTCAAATTAACTACAACATAATATTTAAGGTAAAACATATTAAATAATAAATATAATTATATAACTATAATAAAAAAAATAAATTTGGGGTTAAAAAATCATAACAAAATTATAAAACTATAATTATATAACTATTCTTTCACTTCAATCAAGCTCGAATTTTAGGCTTCAATCGAGCTTCTAATTTTTTTTTGAGTTCAAGCCTTTTTGAGTTCAAGTTTCAATATTATATTTCGAGTTTGAGTTGAACTTGATAATTTTTAGCTTGTGAGTTTGAGTTGAGTTGAGTTGAGCTTATTTTAAAAGTTTTCAAGTTCGAGTCGAGCTCAGCAATACTCGAGTTCGATTTGGCTCGTTTAACAAACGACGTTGTTTGATTTAATTTTTTTTTTTAAAAAAACAAAAATCCCGGTTTTTCTCGGTTTTTTTCGATTTTTTCTGATTTTCAGCCGATCCGGTTCGAACGGTTCAGCGATTCTGATCGGTTCACTAATAGCGGTTCAACCGATTTAGATTGAATCGGATTAAGCAACGGTTCCCGGTTGAACCGGCCGGTCCGATCCGATTTTCAAAACAGATGTTTGTATTTTCTCTTCCCACTTCCCTTCGGAACATCCACAAATGGAGCTTTCAATTTCCTCTCGCCTCCTCCACAATTCCTCCTCTAACGCCGCCGCAATCACGCTACTAAAATCCAAGCCCAGTGTTCATCATAGACATACTTCAATCCCTCTTCTTCCTCTCCAACACTCACTCTCCCCTCTCACTTTGAAACAAATGAATAACAACAATTCCCAATCAACGCTTTCTTGTTCCTCTTTTCCCCAGAGAAACACCTCTCCTGCTCCAAATTCCGCTTCAATTGTCTCAGGTAAACAAAACCCAATCCCCAAAATACCATAAAATCTTTTCTTTTCATTTACCTAATCTCTTTCCATATTGGGTCTGAACTTTTTTTTTCCTTATTGAGGAGTGGTTTAGGTCGTATTGGAGAAGTGGAAAGGGTAACGAAAGAGACGAATGTGTGGGTTAAGATAAACTTGGATGGAACTGGAGTTGCTAATTCTACTACAAGTATTCCCTTTCTTGATCATATGCTGGATGTATGCTTCTTTGTTTTCCATTTTAACTTTTTTGGTGTGATTTTTTTTGTTCTTCTGAGCTTTTAATTTGATTTACTTTCCATGAATTTTTTAATCCTAGCAATTAGCCTCTCATGGGCTGTTCGACGTGCACGTCAAGGCTACCGGAGACATTCACATTGATGATCATCACACCAATGAAGATGTTGCCCTTGCTCTTGGAACGGTAGGTTACTGTCAACAGGTGAAGATTTTGATTTGTATTGCTGGGTGAATTAAATGAGTTGCCCTGTTTTCTTTCAGGCATTGCTTCAGTCACTTGGTGACCGCAAAGGGATTAACCGGTTTGGTGATTTTTCAGCTCCTCTCGATGAGGCATTAGTGCATGTTTCACTGGTATGACATTCATTGCATGGTTATTTCTTAACCATGATCCAATGGTACTATTTGAAACTCGAAACTTGAAACCATCAATACTTTTGAATCCAAGATATTTCCTCATTATTCTGATGATTTCTTGACGAATCCTCATACTTTTATAATGTGGCATGATGATGATGATTCTATGAAACATTACTGACTTTGAATTTTTCTTAATGTAATTCTTCAAAAACCGTGTTTCCCAACAAATATTTGAATTCGTAGCCATGCTAAATTTCGCATTGTTTTTGTTGCAGGATTTATCTGGCCGACCGCATTTAAGTTATGATTTAAACTTTCCTACGGCAAGAGTCGGGACATATGACACTCAGGTATTCCACATTGTTTATATCATCTGGTTTAACCATGTTTATTTTGTTGACTATGGGGGAAATTTGTCGATGGGGTTTCACCGTTTTATGCCGCTTTCTTGCGGGCAACTTCCTTAATGTTGCCTTCTTTCGAAATATATTTATGCTGAATTTCACCAACACACTTTTAATATCTAATATTCACAGTTGGTGGAGCATTTTTTCCAGTCTTTGGTCAATACTTCTGGCATGACACTACACATACGGCAGGTAGTAATACGTATTCTTGCGTATACAAGTTATTTTCAGCACATTGTCTGCCCTATTATAGTACTCACAAAAAAGAAATATTGCAAGTACTTGAGCTGTAGAGCTTTTCGTGTTTGCAGCTTGCTGGAAAAAATTCACATCATATTATTGAGGCAACCTTTAAGGCTTTCGCTAGGGCCCTTAGGCAGGCAACGGAGTACGATCCACGTCGCCTTGGGACTATACCAAGGTTCGATATTATGTGATTTTGATAAATTAAATGCTTATCATACAATTCTCCCCCCCCCCTCCAAAACAGATTTTGAGTTTCTGAAAAGTTAAAAGGTAGTTGTTATGTTGCAAATTTCACGTGTGCTTCCATCCTTATGAATTGCTGAAACATTTTTATGCAGCTCAAAAGGGGTTCTATCAAGATCTTGATGTTTATTTTAAGTTTGGAAGCTTTGGGCATTTGAGGCTCACAAGCTATATATTACTTGGACTTGGGATATCGACACGAGTATGGTTATATTTTCTGAGATTTTACGAGCATATAGAGGATCATTGAAGGTCATATCCTCGTATTCATGTGTCAGACACGTGTCAAACATGGTTACTTCAAGAAAAATAAAGAGTCCGAGCAACGTAGCTCAAAAGTGATCTTTTTTCGGTTTTCCTCATTGAACATTAATTTGTATTGAAAATTACAATTTATGTTAATGGAACCCTCTTGTATGTCATTAATTCATGATGATGAACAATGCTTTGTCTCGGAGTACTTTGCAGTGAACTGATGTTATGCTGGCTTGGACCCCCTATATGATTCATGATTTAATAGATTTATATATTTCTATTTAAATTTCAATAAATATTTGAGAGTTAAGTAGATACATTTTAACTGAAAATTTTGGATATATAGGGAAATTTTGATAAATATGTTTTTATGTTTCAGTTTAAAATTAATGAATAAAGTACAATTATGCATATCCTACACATTGTAAGAAACTGTCTACATGGATAAATTTTAAATTTTGCGAGCTAGGTCTAATTTGCTTGATTTTTAAAATTGATAGGAACCTAAGAAGTATTTAAATTGAAGAATGATAGATCACTTACCTAAATTTCAAATTTAAGAGGGACCTAAAAGGTAATTCGATTAAAAAATTAGGGAGTCAAGGCTTAATTTGTAGTTTTAAAACTTTAGGATCTACTTAGTAATTGAACTCAAGAAATGAGGACGGTAAGATTCAAGACTAAAAAGGACTTAGAAAGCAATTGCACCTAAAATACTGGGGGCCGTGGAAAACTAGGAAACGAGAACCGGCAACATGTAAGGAAAGAAGAGTAAAAATTAGGAAACAACTCAAGCATTTTAACATAAAATTATGAGTCTGTTCCGAATGTTACGATGTTATCGTAAATTTTTTACATTGTTGACAATTTAGTTGTAGAAACACTGATATATGCATGGTCTGATAATGACACATACTACTCCGGTAATATTGACTTGCAATGTTGATCACTTAGGCTTACACAAGGTTCTGTGTGTGTTAAATGAGATGGAACAACTCGAATCCCCTGATTATTCGACCACATCTCGGTTCATACCTGCAGATGAAGCAACTGCAAACCGAGATGATTCGGTTATGTGGCCTCCTGTGCTGATAGTACATAATACAACTGCAGGAAAGAGTAAAGATGGGCACATTAATGGTTAAATTCTTATCTCCTTGGTTGGTTGAACAAGTTAACATTAATGGTAAAAGTAGAGGTGTCTACAGGTTAGGTCGGTTGGTTGCTTGATTTTTAAAATTGATAGGGACCTAAGAAGTATTTGAAATTCAATAAATATCAGTTGATATCTTTCACATTTTCCATTTGTTTCTTTCAAAGAGAAATTCCTCAAGACGACCACGACCACGACCACGACCACGACCCGAGACGGACGGACGGCGGCGGCGGTTCTCTATCACTCAACAAGGAAGTGGAATGTCAAGCCTTAAATACCATTCCCAATAGTGTTTCCAACACTATGTGGGATTAAGCATTACCAACAATACTTACTCTCAATCTTTTGATATTGATCGCTCGAACCTCTAGCATTCTCGATGCTATATTTAAGGAATAACAACAATTCCTTTATCACTGAGGTCACTGAAGTTGGTGTTATATTTCGTGATATATAAAAATATTGAATTATTCTATCTTGTTTTATTAAACTTAATTTCATTTAAAATGAATTATATTTATCTGATATCAAACTTAGGTCTGTTTACATTTGAATTGATTTTTTTAACACAACGAAACCATCTTTGATATTTTGGGTAAATAATCTCTTTAGCCCCTAATATTTTGTTTTATTAATTTGTTACCTTACAAACCCTAAAATTTCACTCAACCTCTCTTTTAGCCCATATTACTGGATGCTGATCCAATCGATAGCTGCATCAAAACAAAGCTCTCCTTTCTTCTACTATTTTATTTCCTTAAACTCGAATCAAATAGAAAACTATACGATGCCATTGTAAGTTGTCGAGCCACCACTTTCTGGCGTCACCTCCGACCTAGAGTTGTGTCGGTTGACTCATCATTTCTTCATATTTTTTTGTTTAGACTCATCAAAAAATGTTCAAACCTCCTCAAAACGAAACTAAATTATAAGGTTTTCTGATCTGACATCATCAATCATTGGGTTAACTTGAAACTAAACTATGTTACTCTTAGTTTGAGTTACACATTCGCCGTTGGAATTTACCGGCGACTACTCTAATCATCAGTAACACATCGAGTGATGGATTTATTTCTTCTTCTTTGTTGTAATCATGTCTCGAGTTGAGTGATAAATGGTTTTGAGTTAAAGTTTATTGTGACAATAATTATAGTGTGAGATGGTGGATGCATGACAATGGTAAAGGTCGTTGGGTTGACAGTCTTGAGGTTGATTTGGGTAAAGACTTTGGTCGTGTCACGTCTTTGGTTTGAGCTTATGTCCAGGATGATGTCAGGGATTAGTTGGTTTAGTAATGACGAGTACTAGCGAGGAATAGTGGGAAGCCGAGGAAGGATTATGGTGGTGTTGGGTATTCATAGATTTGATTGTGAGATCTTAAAAAGTTCAACGACCAAATTAAAAAATTAATCATTTTAATTAACATGTTACATCGTATAAAAGTAAATTTATTAATAATCAAATTGAAACTAATCAATAACATTCATGACCGAAACATGCTAATTGAAACTTGGACTGCCAAAATCATAAGAAAATAAATCAAAATGACATCTACTACAATTTACTTATTTTTTCTCTCTCAACCTATTAATCTTCAAAACCCTAATTAATTTGACAAAAATAAAACAAAATCTTAAATTGAGAAATTTATGGACCAACCATGTCATATCATTTCATCTCCGTTTGTCATTATCTTTGTCGCAGGTAAACAATAACCGGGACCAACATGGTTCATTCAATTGTGGTAAGTAGTTTGATATTACTTAAGTAATTTTTGAATTCGAATTATTATGTAGGTAAAAAATCTCCATTGAGAAACTCACCCACCACAGTCAGGTGTGCGACCTGGATCGATTTGGATTAATCAAAACGAAACCTTAAAACTAAGAGAGCAACCAAAAAAGACAAACCAAAACAACACAACAACTGCGGTTCGTTCCGAATATAAAATCCAACCATTTATAATACATTTGTATTATTTTCTTATAATTTTATCATATTTAAATTATTTTTAATTTTGTTAAAGATGTATTGATTCTGTTGTAAAGATCTAAATAATAAGCTATTTTTAGTTTATTTTAGTTTATTTATAATATTGAGAGTTAAATTTTAGGTGTTATTTATTAAGTTTAATTATTTTATTTTTCTAAATTAATTTCTAATTGATAGAATAATTTATCTAAATTTATGTAAAATCTTAATTTAAATTAATAATTTAAATTTTATCCATAGTTATTTTATTCTTATTTCGAATCTATTTTAACTATCAAGATTTTTATTTAAATATTATAATTATAATTTTATTTATCTTATTTATTTATGATAATTTTAATTTTAAAAAAATAATATAATTTTTAACTTTTAACTTTTAACTTTTTTACTCAGATATTAACCGAAAAGATTAAATTTTAAATTAATTTTCAATGTAAATTAATTCTTAAATTGGTATTCTTTATTTTACATAACATATATAATAGCAATCCAAAAAATAATTTTGAATAAATTAAAAATTAATTTTTATCAGAATGATATTTTAATAAAAGAACCACTATTTTTATTAATTTTCTCTAGTTTTAGGATCTGAATTTTGAGAAAACGCAATCACGTCATCTCTCCCAATATCTAAATTTCCACCCATTGGCAAACATCATTATGGGCACCCTCAGCCTCACGTGTCCAAACGTTACACCCCTCAAATCCAGAGGGTCCCATACTCCAAATAACGAATCGACTGATTTTAATAGTAAAAGAATTGTTATTATTAATTGATGTCTCAAGTTCGAGAGTTATAAATATAAAAAATATGAGCGTTCAATGTTAAATAATTTAGAATTATATTTAAACAGATATTACTTTGTACTTATCCAAACTAATCAAAAATATATATATATATATATATATATATATATATATATTAGTAATTGAATTTGATTTTTAGATTCAGTTTGCTACTTAAATGTTTTTATTTTTATCTGATTTAGTATATAAATTTGGCTTTAAATTTCAGTTCGGTACCTAAACATTCTTAGGTCTAATAACTAATAAGATACCTGAATTTGGTTTTTTTAGTTCAGTTTGATATATGAATTTGACTTTTTTATTTAAATCAGTACTTACGACGCTTAACTAATTTAAAACAAAAAGTAAAATTTAAGTACTAATTTGAATTAAAAAGTTAAGTTTATGTACTTAATAGGACCAGAAAAAATTACATGCCAAATTAAACTTTAAAGCCAAATTTAAATATCTAATTATATAAAAAAGTTAAATACTAAATTGAATCATAAAATTAAAGTTTTTAAATTAAAATTGTGATTTTAAATATTTACAAGTATTTTATTTGTTACTAAAAATTTAAATAATATTAAAAAATTAGAGAAATTGATACAAATAGACATCCAAATATTCATTACATGAGTTATTATTACTATACTAATGCGAATTCAAATTGCAAAATAAAAGATACACCCACTTTCTTTTGAAAAAAATGTCAACATTACACGTCAGACAATGTACGAATAAAAATGAATTTATGATTTTAGTAATTAAGGAGTGTTATTTCTTTTAAACGTCTTAGGTTCGAATAGTTATATCTGTAAATATATATATGTATTATCAATAATTAATAAAATTTTTGAATAGATAATATCTTATAATTATTATAAACTATTAAAATCTGTATGCCCTCTTGCAAAACAGTCAAGGTTAACTTTTCCTATTAGTTCTTTTAGATCACTTAAGCCTTTTGATTTGATTCATATTGACTTATGGGGACCTTATAGAATCTCAACACATAATGGTAATTAATCTTTTTTTACTATTGTAGATGATCATACTAGAATGTTTTGGGTTTATTTGTTGAGACTTAAGAGTGATGCAATCCTTTTTCTCAAACAAATTTCTACCCTTGTTCGAAATCATCATTCTACTTCAGTTAAGTATATTCGCAGTGATAATGGTGGTGAGTTTTGTTAGTGATCATTGTTCTGAACTTTTCTCATATCTTGGAATCATTCACCAAATCTCATGTGTTCATACACTCCAGTAAAATGAGGTTATTGAGTGCAAGCATAAGTATCTTTTAGAGGTAGCCCGTGCTCTTCGTTTTCACTCTCATGTGCCTATAAAATTTTGGGGTGAGTGTGTTTTAACAACCTGTTATATCATTAACAGGCTTCCTACTGCTGTCGTAAATTGAAAAAGTCATTTTGAAGTCTTTTATAAAAATTCACCTGATCTTTCTCATCTAAGAGGGTTTGGTTGTCTTTGATATACAACTAAAGTCAACTATATGGACAAATTTTCACCAAAGGCCTTACCTTCTGTCTTTATAGGTTATTCATCAAGTCAAAAGGGTTATCTATTTTTTGATCTTCATATAAAGTGCTTTTTTTGTCAACCGTGATGTGGTCTTTCATATAAAGTGTTTCCTTTTGCCTTTTCAATCAACAAGTCTTTTCATTTTTCCCTGCTCAGCCTGTTGTTGATGATTATGACTTTCTTACTCTTGATATTTCTGCATCATCTCCTCCAATACATTCTGTTGTACCTAATATGTCTTCTAATTCTTCTTCTTCTTCTTCTTCTTCTTTTGCATCACCTCAAGTCTCAACTAGTCCTCCTAGTTCACCTATTCAACCTCAAAATTAGTGTCCACCTCAGAAAATCTACTAGGGTTGTCAAACCTCCTAATTGGTTACATGACTATATTCAATCCTACCAATCTTCATCTCTTCCAAGTAAATATCCTATTTCCAATTTTATTTCTTATTTTCATTTACTCTCCAAAACTCAGAGTTTCTTATCATCCACTTCTCATTTAATTGAACCTAAAACCTATACTGAAGCCATTACCAACCCTTTGTGAATCCAATCCATGAAGGAAGAGATTGATGCTTTGGAGTCAAATAACACTTGGTTTGTAGTTACTCTACCTTTAGGGAAAGTTCCAATAGGATGCAAATGGGTGTACAAAATTAAGTACAAGGCCAATGGAGATGTTGAGCATTTCAAAGCTCGCCTTGTTGCTAAAGGATTCAATCAAAGAGAAGAAGTTAACTTTGTGAATACATTCTCCTCGGTTGCTAAGTTAGTCACTGCTCGAACTGTTCTTGCTTTTGCCTTCATTTTTTCTGGCCACTTTATCAAATGGATGTGTACAATGCATTTTTGCAAGGTGACTTAGTTGAAGAAGTCTATATGGCACTTCTTGATGGTTTTTGCAGCCAGGGGGAGTCTAGGGTTTGTAGTGTAATACCCCAAAAATTTAGATAATGACCAAAATAAAAATTTTGAAAGTTTGATGGTCAAAGTATAAAATTGGGAAAAAGTTTGAGGAAATTAAGTGATAAATTTCCTAAAAAGAATTTTATTCCATAAATAGATGGTTTACTCTTAAGAATGGAGTTTTATAGAAATCATATTTTTGGATTTGAAATTTTAGTAAAGAAAAATTTGAAAAGGGTTAAAGCCGATAAGGAATTGGTAATTCGAATCGAATTAGAATTTTACAAAAATTTGAAGGATGTTATAAAATGGTTGAAAATATTATTTTAATATTTTGGATCAGAGAAATTTGGTTTGGAAACGTGCAATTTTTCATATTTGACCGAAACAGTGGAATTTAGGGACTAAAATGCAATTTTTGAAAATTCATGGGCAATTTCGTGAGTCAAAGTAAAAAATAATTCATCTTTGACTTTGAAAGATGATAAGGATGAGTTGTCATGGTTTTATGGTGAATATGGAGATTCATTAATGGCAAACATGGAATTTCCTATTGAATTGAATAAAACAATCCATTATACTATATTAAGACATGTGCTAGATTTATTTAATATTAGAGTATTAATGATGGTGGAACATTTTCAGCTCATCTTCTTCTCCATGCCGTGGGTGTTCTTCAAAGGTAAGAGAAAACTTCAACTCAATTTTCAAGCAATTTACTTAGGATTTTGAGTAAGTTGTAAAAAGCAAATTGTTATATGCGAAAACGCTATCTTTTGGTACCAATATTGTATGATAATCTTGTTGGTGTTCAAAGATACCAAATCTAAGGGTTTGTGTTCATATAAAGGATCATGAAATTAATGATGGATCTTGATATTTGTGAGGTAGTTGATTCATATTCAAGCATGAAAGATGATTAGAACATGTTTAATATTTCTAGAACTTGTTCTTTAAATTTCAGCCATGAATGGTTTGAGTGAGAAAAATTATGGAAAAATTATATATGGGATGGAAATGATGAAGGAAGTATTCTATAAGCCTTAGAAAAATTGGGGACCATTTTATAAGTTTTGAAAAGTTGAGGATCAATTCGTAAATTCTAGAAAATTGACGGGGTTGTTGTGTAAGTGATATATAAGTGATGTACTATGCTGGAAAATGTCGTTTTGGGAATTTAAATGAGTGTAAGATATGAAATATGACTATTTTGGAAGTTTGAAAAGATTAGTGATTTAAGTACAATAATTGCATAGTTGGGGTACTTAATTGTAATTATGTGTAACATCCCGAAATCGGGTATGAGAATTTTTGAAATTTGGTGATAAAAGTAGAATAGTTAAATAGTTCAATGATTTATTGGAAATTTAGTTGAAGGTTGTTTAGTAATTATTGAATGAAATAAAGGGTAAAATGGTCAATTGACAAGTAAGATTTTTATTTTCCTTTATAAGATAAGGGAACCACGTGGAAAGGGAGAGATTTCTCCAGAGTTCTCTTCTTTTTTCTTATTTTTATTTCTTCTTCACGTGGAAGCCAAGAGCAAAGGTGAGTTTCTGGTTAATTGATTTCTTGTTGAATTTTAAGTTTGGTTTTGATTATCAAGTGACTCTTAAGCTTAAGGGAAGCTTAATTTGTCATAAAACAATAAGAGGAAAGGTATAAAAAGGATTAAAGGAAGGAAGTGAATAAATGAAATCTTGGTAGAAAGACATTTATGGGATTTCCAGACCAAATTTGACTTGTCAAGGGTCTAATTAAGAAGTTAGAAACAATAGAATTGAATTTGGAACATGTTGAAAATTTAGTGTAATTCTTGAATTACATATGGAGAATAGGATTTTGATATTAAAGAGGTGATTAATGAATAGAAATGAGTTTGAATATGTGTATGTGAGTTAAGAATATAAAAGGGGATGAAATGTGAAGAGTTGAGCTAAAAAGAAAGTGATTTTCTTGCTCTAACTGGAATTTCTGGGCTGTGTGCATCGATGCACATTCATTGTGTACCGATGCAATCTCAAACAAATGAACATCGAATGCAATTAGGGCATCAATACATAGGGAGTGCATCGATACACCCCTTAAAATAGAAACATCGAATGTAAAATGTGTATCGATGCATGGGGTAGTACATCGATGCACATGTTAAGGGATGCATCGATACACTGTGGAATGTACCGATGCACTTCAATGGGAAATGGAATAAATCTTTATGGAATAAATCTTTCTTTCAGTCTAAGAATTGATAGATTATAGTATATCAATTGGATACTGATAAGTATTAATACATGATTGTGTAGACATCGTTCGAAAGCAAAGTTCAGATAGGTCGTTAGAGTAAGATACGCAAGAAAGAGAAAGAGCTTGGTAGTGTTATTGGTGATCAGGTGAGTACATGATATGAAGTGTAGTTATGTTAACGAATTATGACTTGCGAGAAGTCTAATTATGATATTAGGTAATATGAGTACCCAGATGTAAGCATGTAGTGATATGATGACCAGAGAAATTCGAGTCTATGCATATGTTTAGATGTAATTGCATCTCTATGTTTGTGATCTAGGTGAATATGCCTTGTTGCATTACATGTTATGAGATATGTGTTGTATGATAGTGATCTATGAGATATTGATAATAAGTCATAAGATTTCATACATATGTAATATAAGTTAAAAGATAAGAAATAATATTTATATGCATATTAGAAAAAGGTATATGTGAACTATATGAAATGGGATAAAGAACTATGTGATGTGACCATGTGTGAAAAGGATGAATAATGTGAATTTCATGGAAAAATGCTACGTGAAAGTAAACTACGTGACTATGTGATCATATGAAATGTGATAGAGAGCTATGTGAAAGAACTATGTGATATGAATATGTGAATGTGTAATGAGGTAAAAGATAATGCCCATGTCATGTGTTATGAGAGCTATATATATAGTTGGCATGCCAAGAGTCAAGGGTCTACGCGGTCCTTCGGGACATAGTGGTCCTTCAGGATATATATGTGTTATATGTGGTCCTTCGGGACATCTACGTGGTCCTTCGGGATAAATTCTACGCGTCCCTAGTGGAAATTATACGAGCTGTGGTGACAGCATAGTGCACAACCTCTATGTACTCACATACCTTAAGTTCTCAGTAGTGTGAATGTGCTAACCAAAAATGATAACAATAAAATGTGATTTGTAATGAGAAATGTGTTACATGTTTTATATGAGGATATATGTGAATGTGTTACAGGAAAGAATGTGTGTTATGAGTTATGGCATTTGTTATGTGATGTACATGAATATATGTTAATATATATATATATATATTAATATATATATATATGAATGAATATCAATGACTCATATGATGATGTAAGAACATGTTATAAGATATAGAATATGAAAATAAGAGATCATAGGAACAAGAGATAAGAGATAGAAAGGATAATCATATAAGAGTATGAGAAAATATAAATGATGACATGCATGTGTGTATGTAATTGTTACATGAAAAAGTATGTATACAAGTATGACGTTGTATTACATGATATGTACATGCATTTGATAATTTACATATGTATTTATACGTCTCACTAAGTCTATGAGTTAGCGTGTGAGTGTTTCACGCGTAGGTTCAGGAAAGCAGGAAGAGAAGCTAAGAGGAGCAAGATAATTTAGTTTCTCCTTACTGAAGGTCAGATCAGAACATAAATGAAAAACATGTATTTTGTTATATAGAATCTAGTTGACATGTAGTTAAAAGATTTGTATTATATACACTCTAATCAGTTTTGTAAAACCATATGTTTTATATCATAGAAAGTAAATGGTTTTATTAGAAATATCAAACTGAATCTTGGGTATTTTGTAAAAGTAAATGTTTTGAGAAGTCAATGTGACACCTCAGACTCGTATCCGGGTTGAGTACGGGTTGGGGGTGTTACATTTAATGTTATTAGAGCTAAGGTTTAGCCGATTCTAGGCTTAAACTGAAGGTAAAATAGTTTTAAAAAAATGTGTACATGACAACATAGAGTGAAAATTTCTGATCTAATAGTGTAAGGAGTATATTGTCTTGCTAATAGAATAAGATTTGTATGATATAGTAGAAATGGATTATAGAAATTATTGAAGTGAATCGATAGCAGACAAATCTGATGGTGATAGCAATTCACCCCTGGCCAGGCAGGATGAAGAGTGAAAACCTCAGAAAGTGTCTTATAAGATTAAATGTTGATTTCAAAAAGTTGAAATCACATCTGAATAAGAATAGAAAGTTTTTCACTATTTTGAAGTAGAAAAGTGATATGGAGTAGTTTTGTTATTTCGTGGATAAGATAGAATACGGTGAACAAGTGTCACCATAAGAGCGTTAAAAGATCAAATGATGTAGTGAGAATTGGTTGAAGAGTTCAAGAATAAGTGTATTAGTGATAAGTGTATAAGATGTATAAAGTCAGAGCTTATGAGTTTGAAATGAAGGGATAATATTGTGTATAAGAAAGAGTGTATATGATAAGGATTTGTAGTTAAGATGGAAAGAGTTAGCGTTGGCTAACCAGAGTATGTGATAAAAAATGTACCAGAATTAATCAATTATGATGTGGATTTGAATATAGTTGTGTATTCTGATAAGATAACTATGATGTAGACAAGGAGAAAAGTAATTGTATGGAGTTTTAAGAAAGGAAAATACAGAGATATGAAGTTCTGTATAAGTAAATGGGTACAAGAATGAAGATTGGTACACAGAGATGAGTATGTTATAGGACAAGAGTATATGAATATAAGGAGATTATAAGGAGATTTCAATTTGGAATGAATAAAGGAATAATGGAATAAAAAAATGAAAAGGATTGAGTTTAAGGGATCAGATATGATGAAGGTTATATGGAAGTGTAGATGATAAGTTCTATATAGAAGTACGAAAAGTGTGCAAGGTTATGAG